CCCCGGGGCGCCGGACGCGCTGCATTCGGTGCCGTGACGTCAGCGCTCGCCCCCCCTCCCACTCTCCCATTCGCTTCGTCCGGCGTCGCCCCACCCCATCTCCCTCCCTCTGCTTCGCGGCCGGGCCCTGCATCTCATTCTCAACTTCTCACGCTCACCTCTTCTGGTCACACACGCACGCTCTAGCCTCTCGCCGCCTTGCCAGTGACGTCTTGCTCCCATAAAGTACTTCTCGCAGAGATCATTTGGCTTGAAATTACACATCAAGGAAGATATGCGTTGCTTATGGAAAACAATTTTACATAATATACAAAAACATTGGGAATGTTAATTTCAAAAGAAAATGATCTGAAGCATAATGTTTTGATAAATTTGAAACCCATCAAAATGTGAAATTACTGTTTATATACGAAAGTTCCCAGTATATCGTCATTCTTAGTTTTATTAGCGATGGGTTGCATCTCATAGATTATTCAAGTGAAAAAAAAATTGCTTGTAAAATGAAAAGCAAATTTGGTTGGAAATAATTATGAAGGTAATAAAATGCTGCACATTTTATTTAGTGTAAGGGACGAACACTTTCTCCCAGGGTCGAAAACAGTTTTTAATCCAACGCAAATCGAGTCGACAACAGGATCTAGGCATTGATACTGAAGCATTTGATACTGGTATGAACAATTTTGAAGAAGGGAATTTATACAGCTTCTCAATCATAGCCCAAGTTTTTGAAATAGAACGAATAAACGAACATTTTAACATTTATTTTGAACATTTATAACATGCAAGTAGCATTTACTAAAAAATACCCGAGTTGGCTGAACAATTCTTGAGATAACGAGGGAAAAAACAAAAACGGAAACAAATAAAACGATTGAAACCAATTCTCGTTACAAATGAGATTCAAATGAAGAGAAGTTGTAGATCCCGAACAGAAGTAATTTAACAGTAACATAAAAGAAAAAGTCGGCGAATTTTATTAAAAGAAACTTTTCTTTTTTTAAAACCGACAGTTTTTGATATTGGAGTTCACACGTAAATTATTCTGGTTATGTAAAACTTCTTTTTGTTCTTTTAAAATGTAGACGTATAACGATGTCTCTTGCTCAATTCTGCAAGTCCCGAGAGCGACTCGAAAGAAATCTCATCATCCCTTCATCTCATTACAACCTATTGCCAATGCACTTCTTCCGGGGACAGGCGCCGCCAGCCAGCACTATCGCTCAAAGCAGATAAAAAGCGACGTTGCCCGTTGCTACTTACCTTCCAGCGGGACAGGCTCGTCTTCCTCCCGTTCTTACCTACAAAGAGAAGGAAAGCTTTATAAAGGCTACGGAGACGGGCTTCAGCGCAGCACTGCTCACTACGTACATTCACTATCCTCAGAGCATTAGCTTCTCATTTAAAAATCCATTAATTTTAATGAAATGGAGATACGAGGCGAGTACAGGGATTGCGGCACGAAGTACGAGTCTCCGGACGCTGCTAATCAGCAGAGGCTCCAATGCAGATTGCTCTTTCCTTGACAGTGCACGTTTTCGCTGAGCATGTCTAGGACGATTCAAGGAAATGTCTTTTATGTGATAAAGAACAGCGAGCTAAATGCAGATCTCGTACCTGACACGAAGAACTATTTTCAATGATAATTACAAACGAGATTACTATATATTGTTCCAAAGAGGGGCTTTTGTAACAAACAGATTGACTTAACAGAAAAAAAACACTGACGCATTTTTGTAATTTTTTAATATTATTTATTTTACTAGAAGAAGAAAGCAAAAATTGAAAGAAAACTATGTAGCCACTGATCACATAAGGGATTTCATGAGACACCCAGGAACTCGGGGTATACCGCAAAACAATGAAACAGTTTCGATTTTCTCTGAAAAAAAAAATCAAATATTTCATTATGTTAGTCTGCCTATTTTCATTCTCATTGCGCCACAGCTGACGTCATCGGACTGCAAACCTCAAAAGAAGAGGGTGCAGGCCATTATTTACTATTGAAGAGTTGCGTTATGGAATAGCGCCTATTTTAATGTTTTTGGTATTGTAACTTACCAAACATAAACATTGCTATAGAATAGTTCTGACTATGCTCTCCGTAACAAACATAAACCATTGTAATGAAACAGAGTTGGGGTTACACTCTCCTTGAGACGAATTTTGTAAAAAATGAATATTGGAGAGTAGAAGTCTCTCTGAAATTTTATTTCTCGTGAAAGCACAGAGCCTGGCTACGTTACAGTATATAAAGAACTGTTGTGCAGTACATGATATAAACTACCAAATTGTTATTGCAGACTGAAGATTTTGTAAACACATATTTGTTAAAATATTTAATCTATTCCAGTTTTAAACTATTATATTTGTAGTTCTTGAGCAGATTGTGCTACTTTTTAGAAGAGCATTTTGTGAGGATTTGTTCAGCAGCATTTTTCCTGCACAAGGTCACTAGTGTTTTGTGGGTAATTTTTACATTTTTAGGATGTGTACAATAGAAATATTGAATCTTTATTAAAATGGAGATCCTTACTTTACCTAATACACCGTCTCAAAATTATAATTGTATAATTATTATTATTATTATTATTATTATTATTATTATTATTATTATTATTAGTCTATTAAAGATTTTATATTCTAGGAACGCACATATATCTTCAAACTGCAAATCGAAAAAATTAAATGCTCTTCGCGTTGTATTTGAAATATCAGTGCTAAAACTTTCAACAATGACAATTAGATCTTTGAAAGTTTCTAAAGCAACAAACACCAATTTATATTAGGCAATTTATTCAATTTCTGCTAATCAATGAACTAACTGAAATGAAATATGTTGTAAATGTATTCACAATGAATCGTGAACTTAAGTATTTGTTTCATTCTGTTCGTATAGCAACATATTAGCAACATCGTATAGCTGCATATTATCCGTGCATAAATAATTTACTTGATCCAGAATACATATCCCAAAATTTAATAATCTGTTTATTTAGAAAAAAACTGAAATAAAAAATGAATTACTTTACATTCGAGTTGTATATTTTACATTTTTTTCACACCAAGAAAATAAAAAAAAAGTTGTAATTCAATGAGGTAGCACGTAAATAGCAAGTATTTAATGGCGGATGGTATGTAGACTTGCTGTCGCATGGCCCGGTGCGTGAAAAGAAATAAGAATAATATTAATCGATGAGCACAGTATGAGAAAAGGGGAAACACAAATATTTGTATTTCTCGGACAAAATAGAAACTGTCCCATTGTTTTCAGATTCTTTCAGAGATCCTGCGTGCCTGACAAAACTGTTGACACCCCTCACAGGGTCGGAGGTTGCATAGTTGTTGTTTTTCTGCGCGTATTTGAAATTAGTATTAATAATAATAATAATAATAATAATAATAATAATAATAATAATAAAACGTGAAGAATCAGAAAAATGGAAACAGAAAGCAAAGAAAAGAAGAAAACAGAAGGGAGGAGAAGCAGAAGGAGGGAAGAAACAGAGGAGGGGAAGAACAGAGAGGAAAAGAAACAGTAAGGAGGAAAAGAAACAGAAGGAGGAGAAGAAACAGAAGGAGGAGAAGAAACAGAGGGAGGAGAAGAAACAGAAGGAGGAGAAGAAACAGAGGGAGGAGAAGAAACAGAGAGGGAGAAGAAACAGAAGGAGGGGAAGAAACAGAAGGAGGGGAAGAAACAGAAGGAGGAGAAGAAACAGAGGGAGGAGAAGAAACAGGAGGGGAAGAAACAGAAGGAGGAGAAGAAACAGAAGGAGGAGAAGAAACAGAAGGAGGAAGAGAAGAAACAGAAGGAGGAGTAGGAGGAGAAAAAGAAGAAGGAGAAACAGGAGACAGACTGACCGGCGGCGCCGGCGCCCGCGGCGGAGGCGGGGTCGAGGCGCTGCTTGGCGCGGCGCGTGCCGCGGATCACCCAGCGCTCCAGCTGCTCCAGCTGCACCTCCTCCATGACGAAGCGCTCCAGGAAGTCGGCGTGCGCGCGCAGAAAGGCCGCCACCTGCTCCGCGCTCGGCTCTGCAACCGCACGCCGCCACATGCACCTTCTCCGTCCCCATCCATCCTCAGCTCAGGCGGGAACGGAGGTTTTCACAAAATATAAAACGTTTATTTCAGAAACACGTCAAGCGCCAAAATCTAAAACACGCATTAGCGGCGCATTACTGTTCCAAGAGGAAAGACACATCGTTTAGTGCATGTTTATATGAAAAATATTTACATTGCTTTAATAAATAAATATATTTGGAAACCAGATAAATTGGGAGCCTTTTTCTCAGTTGTCTCGAAGTAAGGAATTTGGCGTTTGTTGGGTTTCTGAAATAAACGGTTCATGTGTTTTCGCGGTAGTAAGGCCATTCTTCAAAAAGGGCACGATAAGGGTGGAAAGCCAAATTTTGTAGTAGGTCAATTCAGCTTAAGCTTAAATGGAACGTCCATTAAAATGAATTGAGCTATAAATTAAAATCTCTATGATACGCTTCCAGAATTCTTTCAAATCCAGTCATCCTCCATTGCTCGTTGTGTACATTTCGCGAATGTTCATTCCCGCCTGAGATATGGCATAATACATCTTATCTCCCAGACTTTTAGATAACAAAAAAAAAAGTACGAATAATAAGCAAATCCCACCCACCTGATTCTTGTAAGCCTCTCTTTATTACTCTAGGTATTTTACCATTACATTGTCTCTTGATGTATGAATAAGGGCTTTTTGTCAAAAATGACTTACATAAGGGTGGAAATATATTTTCAACTAACGCTGATGTCTATAACAACAACACTCGACGTAATCATGTTCATCAGCTGACAGCTCACTACAAAAAATGCACATACAATACATGTACATTATTCTACAACACCTTGTCAGATGACATTAAACGATCAAATTCGATACAAAAGTTTAAGTCTCAAGTAAGATAGTTTCTGCTGCACAACCGTTTCTATACAATTAGTGACTATACCGACCACCCAAAAGGAAAGTAATATTAATTTTAACGACGACCTTTAGTGTATTATTTACCATTTGGATTGTATAAATCTAAAGAACCTGTAACAAGTATTGTACTTAAGCTTCTGAGTCATTGACCTCCATCTCGATCAGGCTTTCGTTCAGTTTCCCTGATCCTTGAGCTAATGCCCCTTGTTTTGCTTCTGGACATAAATGTCACTTTAAATTAACTTCTCCCCATAGCACGTCAAACAGTTTTTAACTGTTTTTCACGTAAATAAATAAATAAAGAAAGAAATAGATGTGCCCTTGCAAGCAGATTTTATTACATGGGGCGCGAATATTCCCATGCATAGTTCTCAGAGCTCGTGAAACCGCGGACAGATTGCATTTCCCCTCCTCAATGTACGTCACACAGTTGTGATCTGTTTTTACTTTTAAATAAATAAATAAATAAATAAATAAATAAATAAATAAATAAATAAATAAATAAATAAATAA